CCTGAAATCAAGAGTCACATGCTCTACCAACTGAGCCGGTCAGGCGCCACCTAGATGGGGTGACTTTTAAGAAGTGTTCTAAGCCTGAGGTTCTCCGGATTTCATCACAATACCGAAAAGAAAGAGGGAAGTAGGATGATAAAGAGGGTGGGAATTGGGTTGTAATTGTCCATATGAACTTTATCTACTAAAAAGTAGTAACCTTTTTATTCATATAATATGCCTGCAGAAAAGGACGCATCAGAGGTGGCTACTCAGTGCACTTTGCAAACGGGGCTGTCTGTGTAATTACTGCTATATCATAGGGCACAGTCACCCGCCCCCCCAGAAGCCCTCTCAAGCCCCTCCCAGGCATTCCCTCTACAAAGAAAACCATTTCCCCGACTTCTATCCCATAGCTTCCTTTTGCCTGGTTTTAAACCTGTGCATAAATGGGACCGTGCTCAGTGTTCTCTCTTGTGCCTGGCTTTCTTTGGCGTAGTGTCAACACTTTGCGGGATTCGTCCATGTAGAAGTGAGCTGTTGTGGATGGACCTTTCCTGTTGCCGTGTGGTGGTCCCCCGTAGGGATCTGTGGCTGTCTCTTCCTGTCTGCACTGTGCATGCCCACACTCACGAGTGTCCCAACATGTGTGTGGATGACGGGGCAGACTCCCAAGGAGGTTGCCCTGAGCTCTGAGCCCAGGCCCTGGTTCTTCCCACCTGGGTAGTGTTTGCTCACGTGCAGGATAGGCTCCAAGTGAAGGACTGTGGGCAGGGGGTGGTGGGAGGAGGCCGGGGCATGAGGGGTGGCCGTGATGCCTGAGAGGCAGCGTGGACAGTCCCCGAGAGGCAAGGCGGGCAGATGCCCTGAGGCAGGGTGTTGGGCCGCATTTCCACAGCGGAACAGGCCACTATTGTTGCTTCCTGAACTGCCCTAGAGACATGGAAAAGGCAGCTCACGCCTTTGGCCAGATGCCTGATGGCCTTTTAGGGTAGTTCAGCCTTGGCAGGGCCTCATTCTCCTCTGAACAAGTGAAGATGAGGGGCGCCAGAGGGGGCTGCACTGACCAGGGTGGTTGTCCCAACATCCTAGCGGCCCACACTGGTTAGCGCCTTTGCCTTCTTCCGAGTTTGAGCATGGTGCCCAGTGCCTGGCTGGGCTGCCCCTTGCAGGAGCGACGGGAAGGCCGGAGGCTGGGAAGCAGAGTGCCTGCATTCCACTTCCCAGCTCTGCTGTGGATTCCAGATTTCGCAGTGCCTTAGGCTCCTCTGAGTGCCGATCCAGTGTCCTGATCTTACAGAGGCCCGTGGGGGGAGCAGGGTGTGGGGGCAGGGCTGAGGCAGAGGCCTGGTCTGGTGAGCACAGAAAGCTGGAGCTTGTTTCCTTATATGACAGTGGCTGGGATACCTCCAGTGCCTTCTACATCCTCCTTTGTCCGTCTGGTTTGAGTCCCGGGGAGTCCTTGCGCGGTGGGGTCAAGCAGCTTCTAGGAGAGAGAGGAAGAGCCCCTGGCCGACCTTGGCTGGGCCCACAGGGCCCCTTTGCTTGCCCCCTGCATAGTTTGGGTGTTATTTGGGGTGAGTCTTTGTGTTTTCTCCTCCGTAGAGTAAGGTCTCAATCTAAAATTAAAAAGCGGTCCTGTCCCCTGTCCCTGTGTCCCAGTGGGAACTGAGAGCGCAGGAGACTGTGTTTAAAAGGCAGGGGAGCCGTCAGAATGAAAGGCAGTGGGCAGGCGGGGACAGCGAGGGGGAACATGCCACCCTCAGATGTGGGTTCCTTTTCATCCATTCACCCGGTGCTTTTTCTGGTGCTTTTCTTCTTTTCTGGACGACAGCCCTGTCCTGACCCACCCAGCCTGCTTCTTCCCTTCTGGAACCACCCCGGCTCTGCTCCGCTGGCCTGCCAGCACCCCCGCCCCCAGGTTGGCCCCTCCCCGCCCTCCGAGGCCTGGGTTTTGGATTAACGAAGCCCAGATGCAGGACTTCTGACTCTGGCTGCGAGTTAACTTTGGAGCGCGGCACAGAGGGGCCATTTACCTCCCACTGTGTTCCCGGCCCAGCTGCTGCTGGGGCTCCCGGGCAACAGCCGGAGAGCAGGTCCTGGCTGCCAATGAGATGGAAGCCACGCGGGGTGTGCCGTGTGGCCAGGGCTCCGGGAGAAAACGGGAGGGTGGGGCGCTGGGTGAGGGGCGAGGGTCTGGCTGCGCTCACAGGAGTCCGGTGTGGGGGATGATGAGGGACTCCTGTTTTCTATCCCATGTGGCTAAAAGAGGCTGCCTCTCCACAGCTCTCAGAAGGTCAGGTGGGGACGCTGAGGTGCTCCGCAGAAAGGGGTCATGGCTAAAAGGAGACAGGGTGCGGGAGGGCCCCGTGCTGGTTAATGTCAGGTCTTCCTGATCCAGAATGGACCAGGGATGGCCGGCCCCTCCCTGGGTTGCCAGATAAAATACAAACATTGTGCAGGAGAACGCCAAGAAAATGACTCTTTGTCAATAAGAAATTCAAATTTAACTGGGCATCCTCTATTTTTACTGGCTAAATCTGGCAATCCTGTCTCTCCCTCCACCTGAATTGCTTCTTTAAGTAATAGTTTTATTGAACTGCAACATACAAACAGAACAGAACACAGACCGTAGGGGCATGGCTCAGTGACCACAAGTGGAACCCGTGGGAAACCTGCACTCAGAGCAAGAAATGCAACATGAGCAGAACCTGCCCGTCCCCCCAGCCATCACTACCCAGGCTTCCAACAGCTGCTATTTGGCCATTTTTGTACTTTATTGGAACTTAATCATGCACATGTATTCTTTTGAATCTGGCTTCTTTCTTTTTTTTTTTTTTTTTAAGATTTTTTATTTATTTGAGAGAGAGAGAATGAGAGATAGAGAGCACGAGAGGGAAGAGGGTCAGAGGGAGAAGCAGACTCCCTGCTGAGCAGGGAGCCCGATGCGGGACTCGTGGCTTCTTTCGAGTGGCACAGTGAAGATCATCCGGGACTTTGGATAGCGTTTTAGCTCACTGTCATTACGAGTAGGATTGAGTGGGATCGATAGGGCCCAGTCTGGGTATGCGTACTAATGGTGTACCTAAGGTGCACTTCCGCCTTGTGTGCACGCGCATAGGTACCCAGGCATAGGATTGCTAGGTCATGGGTGAGCACATGTTCATCTTTAGTTGATCTTGCCAAGCAGTTTCTCAAAGTGGATGTGCAATTCGAATTCCCACCTGCTTTGTGTGAGCGTCTCTGCCGCCCCTCCCCCTCCCCAGCACTGTGCATTTCCCCCTTTTTCATGTTCTCCTTTCTGGTGTATCGTGGTGCTGCTGCTTTTTTTTCTCCATTTCATCAAGAGCCTGTTGCTTTGTTGATCCCTCTGACTTTCTTGACGAAGTGCTAAGAAACTCAGCAAGGCCCCTGGTTGCAGTTCCAGCCTGCCCAGCCCCACAGGAACTTCGAGGAGCCATTCCTACCCCAGTTCCTACCCCAGTTCCCCATTCCTACCCCAGTTCACTCCGTCATGTGAGGCCTGGGCAGCAGCAGGCCCGGCCCTGGGGAGGTTGCAGCGGAGGCTGGACCACGAAGCCCAGAAGTGGCCAGGCTGGATCCTGCCTCCCCAGAGTACCTGCTTAGCATTTCCCCATGCTGCCTGTGGCAGGCTGTTCCAGATGTCCGGTCCTTCAGTTCCTTGTGGTGTCATTCCAGGAATACGGGTGAGGGCGGCTGTGTGGGTCCCCTCGGCAGGGCCGTGACCTGAGGGCATTTCCCCTTTAAGGAGCTGGTTCCAGCCCAAGTGTCTTCCTTCATGTGCCTTATGTTTCCTCTAGCTTCGGGACCTCTCCTTTGCTTCTTCTGATGGCTCTCTGCAGAAACTAGGGACTGTGGCCACATCAAGGTCCGTGCCAGGGGCTGACATCTGCTCCCAGAGTGTATGGGGGTGCAAGAGAGATGTGACCCTCTTGGTGGAGACGAGCTGTGGCAGGGAGCGTGGACAGAGGAGGGGCCCTCGACTCCCCCACAGCCTCCTCAGCCACTGCCACCCCAGCCTCATCCTCTGGTCTCCACGCCCCTCCTCTCTTCTCTTTCTGCTCCCTCTAGTCCTCAAGGACCCATGGAAATCAGAGCCCTGAACATGAGCTTCTGAAATCCCCATCAGAGGTCTTCAGTCCCAAAGAGAAGAGATACTAGCCCCCTGAGTGAATCAGTTAAGACTGCTTAGTGCTTGACTCAGAAGCCCAGCCCAAAGTGACCGAAGCCAAAGGCACTTTATTGTTCCACATGACCAGCTGACCTACTGAATGGTCCAGGGGCCGGGGGCTTCAGGCACAGCAGGCTCTGGGTGTTGTCAGAGCTCTGTCCCTGTCCTCTGTCTCTGCTTGCTTCATCCTCCAGGCTCTCCCACAGGGAGGCACGATGGTCACCAGCAGGTGTGGGATCACCTCCTGCCCGACCAGTGGCCCTGCTGGAACGGCACACGTTCTGCTTGATAATTCCAACCAGGGCACTGAGGCGACCTCTAAGAGGCTCAGTCACTCAGACTCTGATGGGCCGGGCCTGGCTCATGTGCCCACTCTGGGTGAGCAGCTTCTCCAGAGGAAAGTTGATGCCGGGTGAAAGAAAAACAAAGTTTAGCCCCACTTTCCACTACCCTGTGTGGGCTGAAAGATTCTAATGCTGCCAAGGACAGAAAAGGCAAAGGTCTGTGCCAAAGCAGTTGAACATTCCTTATCTCTGTGTATCCGCAGATAAGTACAGATACTCAGAAAGATGAACTGAGAAGAAAAACACTGCTGAGCCAACCTCTGAAATTACCAGTGACTTTAATTTTTTTTCCTTTTGCTTATTTTTTAACTCTGCCGTCATGTTTTATTGCTTCTAAAATAAATGATAAATACTATAAAGCAGGAGAGCAGGACGGAGTACTCCAGACAGCACGCCTCTCCCATGCTGCCCCCACATGCGCCTCCAGCCCACTTGCTCTCAGAGTGTCCCACCCCTCAGTCCCTCTTGCTCCTTCCCCACAGGCAACTTCGAAGCCAGCTCAGCCTCGTGGTCATTGCCCAGATGCTGGACCAGCAAGAGACGCTCCCTCTCTGGCAAGAGAAAGCCCAGGTGAGTCTTGGCCTCAGCTGGGCAGCATCCCCTGGGCCCAGGAAGCCTGTGGGTGAACAGAGGGCTCCCCCCGAGGCCTGCCTGCTCCTGTGGCTTTTCCCAAAAGTTGGGAGCCTCAGGCCAGGAGAGGCAAGTCGAGTGTGAATTTTTCCCTCATACCCTTGCATTCAGCAATTACTGTTTTGTATGCCCCTGTGTGCTAGGCACTGAGGCTAGAGCAGTGAGCTGGGAGCATGTGTTACTTGTTGGTTTGGTTTTTTTTAGCTGTGGTAAAATATGCATGACATAACATTTACCGCTTTAACGTTTTTGTTTTTTGTTTTTTTTTTTTTTACCATCATGACAAGTTTAAGTGCAGAGTTCAGCCATTTCGAAGCGTACAATTCAGTGGCTCTGAGTACATTCACAAAGCTGTGCAGCCATCACCACCATCCACCTCCAGAACTTTTTTTCATCCTCCCAAATAAAAACTCCATACCCGTTAAATGCTAATTTCCATTCTCTCCTTCCCCAGCCCCTGCTTATATTACTTTTTATGGTGGAAGGAAAAACAGTGCAAGTGAAAACAAACACTATGGCCTTAAAACTACTCACTCGTAGTGCCTCTCCTTTTCCAATGTTAGGCATTGGAAAAGAGGGCAGAAAGAAAAGTAGAGCTTTGTCTTCTTTCCCCATTCCCCTTCTCTCCAGAAAGCTCTGACCACAGCCTCCACAGCTCGGGGCCCTGGGGGCAGCGTGGGTCCCAGCCAGCCCAAGGATGGGTGGCAGAGAGGTTGAGCATGCCCTCACCCTTACCCCCTAGAAGCTCCCTGGGATCGAAGAATAGTTGCTGGGTACAACCGAGCCCTCTAGCTCAGCAACACGAGAGGGACCAGGCAGTCCCTGTGAAGGGCTCTGCGTCTCTGTTCGTAGAGGTGTCCTCGGGAAGCCTGCGTAACCCCTTGCCCAGAGTGCTGAGAGAACATTCCGGCACATCCCGGGGCAGGGTGGACAATATCGCTGAGTCTGCAATGCCAGGATTGCAGGGCGGGAGCTCAGAAAGCTGACTGGTTGTATTGGCTTGTCCGAGTGGGCTCGGCCTGGCTTTTGCTGCGGCTGCCCCCTTTGCCATAAATACTTTCTCCCGAGGACTTAGCCTGGCTGCAGCTTATTGTCATTCCAGTTCCTGCTGAAATGACACCTCCACTCAGAGGCCTTTCCTGACCACCCAATGCAAAGTCCCCTGGCACATACCCCTGTTTTAAATTATTTACCTCCTGACATTTTCTTATTTATTGGGTCAGGGTCTGTGTACACACGTGCGCGCGCACACACACACACCACCAGCAGCTCCTTGAGTGCAGGGACCAAATCTTTCTGCCCGTTAGCACCCAGCACAGTGCCTGGCACACACGGGGACTCTGCGTGTACTTGTAGAGTGAATGAGCCTGGAGTGGAGCCCCTGGAGTGTGCGAAAGGAAGTTCCCTTTCCCCAGAGACCTGGGGAGGGGTGGGGGGGGGAGTGGCCCGCACTGGGGTGACTTCACACAGATGAAAGCCTGATGACAGAGCATCTCTGTGAGGAAGGAGAGACCAAACAGTGTCTCAGGGGTGCCAGGCTGTTAGGAGTGGGGGCCGGCGGAGATGCAGCAGGCAAACAAGACCGCCCGGACCCAGAGGGTCTGGAGGGCAGATGGGGGTCTGTGGGCCCCAAGGAGAACAGAGCACGGTGTCAGCAGAGCAGAGGGGAAAACCCAGAGCGTCCAGCTCAGGAAAGGCAGGACCAGCTGTGTGTGTGGGCGGGGGGGAGTCGCCCACCTGCAGTGTTTGGCAGTGACCAAAGAGTGGCTCAAGCATCCGGGCCCAGGAGCCCCCAGCTTCTCCCCAGAGCCTGCCAGGGGCCAAGCCCGGCCCAGCCCCACCCAGCTCCAGGGCTCTCCAGCCATACCAGTCGCCCGCATGCCCACCGCGCGCCCATCTCTTCAGGAGACCCCAGCTAAGCACCGCTTGTGTGCCAGTCTCCGTGCCAGGCTCTGCACCAGGAACCAGCCTCCGAAGACAGGGTGTGAGAAAGGTGGGCTGAGGGTGCAGTGACTAACACTGCCCGAGGGCCATGAAGTGTCTTCCAGAGAAGGTGTCCTGAGCCAAGGCTAGGAGGCTGAGTCAGTGCTCGTGTTGCAGAGAGGAGAGTCTGCTGGCCGCCAGTGCGGGCTGTGCACAGCTGCGCCAGCCTCCTGGCGGCTCGGGGAGAGGAGGGACCAGCTGGGGCCTGCCTGCAGGGCCCCCCCCCCCCCCCCTGTTTCCCCCATCTCCACTGCAGGCACCTCCCAGGTCTCCGGGCTGTAGGCGCTCCCCTTTCCAGTCTGGCCTGTCAGACGGATCCTTGCCTTCAAAGGGCCACCACCTTGGCCCCACAGCCTCCGCGTCAAACCCCACAATGCCCCCTTTCCCAGCTTCTCTCTGTGGCCTGCCCGCACCACTTGTTCTTCCCAGCCCTCCTCGCAGGCCAGCCCCACTCTCTCTGCACACAGCTCTGTGCCCTGACCCTCCTTCCTTTCCATCATCACATCCCAACTGAAACGGCTGTAGCCAGCACTCTGCATAGCACGTGTCCCAGGGGCTGTTCTCAGAGCTTACCTCTCATAGCAGCCCCCGGCTGTAAGGACTGTTACCATCAGACGTTTTTCACAGATGGGGAAACTGAGGCAGGTACAGTTAGGAAGCTTCTCAGGGCCATACAGCGGGGAAAGCCGTGGAGCTAGGATTCAACCGCAGGGTCCTTGCCCTTGACCACTGCAACATGCCGTCTCTGCTTCTCCAGCCCCTTCCTTGGCTCTCATCGTGGTGACAGCCCAGACCATGCCTGCCATTTCATGCTGAAGGTGCCCTGCTGGTCCCTTGAGCTTTATCCCTAAGTGGCAGATAGGAGAACAAGGGCTGTGGCTTCTACTTCCTTCATTGATGTACAAATGCTTGATAAACCTTATCAGTTGATTGACTCTGAAGGGGAGCCGGGGGATAGAGAATTGACTCCTCTAGGAGAAGTTCTGGGGTTAGTGCCTAGGCAGAGGCTCTCAGGGCACTGCTGGGCAGGAGGAGTCCCTGACCCCTGGATGGCTTGACTCTCTGTCTCAGGCTGCAGTCTGAGGCCCTAGGAGTAGGAGCTGAAGAACTAGAATTTGGGGAATGGGACTTCTGTAGGTCGTCAGGATGCACCCCTCCCTCCCCCAAGGCCTCATTTTCCAGGAGAGCCTTGGAGTCAGGCTGCTTCCTGTTGTTCTTGGGAATCTTGGGAATATCCCAGAAACAGCAGGGTTTTGGCTTCGTGCACCAGTGTGCTCCAGACCCTGCTCGGGGCACTAAAGATACAACCCTGAAGAAAACTCAGTCCCTCCCTTGTGAAACTCACTGTCTAGGGGGAGACGGACACAGGCACCAAGAAAAAAGTAAATATTTGCCATACCAGATGGTCATAAGGGCCCTGGAGAAAAATAAAGCCAGATAAAGAGGAGAGGGAATGTTGGGAGATGGGGACATTTGTGCATAGAACTGAAAACGTCAGGCAGGTTTCTCGGGGAAGAGCATTCCACACAGGAAACAGCCAGTGCAAAGGCTCTGGGGCAGCCAGAGTTCTCTTAGGTTAGAGGAAAAACAGAAGCCACTGTGGCTGGAGAGCCATTGGAAGGTTTTGATAAGAGAAACAGAATCAAATTTATAAAATATTTTTAAATTACTCTGGCTGCTATGTTGAGCTTAGGCAATTGCAGTAATCCTGGTAAGAGATGAAGATGGTTTGGCCTGGGGAGATAGCGGCGTAGGTGGTGAGAAGTGGTCCGACTCTAGGTGTGTTTCCCAAGCACAGCCAGCGGGACAGGGGATGTGAGAGGAAGGAGACAAGGAGGGCTCCTGGACCTATGCAACTGGCAGGATGGAGAAGCCCTTTACCGAGATCGGCAAGACACAGGTGGAACAGGTTTGGAGACCAGTTGGGAGTTTTCTTCTTCTCCCAGGCCACCTCTTGCAACACAGCAAACCTCTTTCGTCAAGCCACGTCTTCCAGTTTGGAGTCGGGAAGACACGGGCTGTAAATGGCCCAAATGCAGGAGTTCAAGGGTCTGCATCTCCTAGGGAGAGGCTGACGGCAGTCCTGCCCGGCCCTGCATTCATTAAGGGAACGAAGACTTAGGAAACATATAACATGTGCCAGGGGCTGTGCTCGACCCCGGTGGACACTGCGGGGAACAAAACTGCCCTCGTGGGCCCTACGTTCTAGTGAGGGAGGGGGGACAAGTAAGAAACATGGTAAACAAGTAAATTACAGAACGCACTAGGAGGTGGTAAATGTGGTAGACGCAGAAGTCATTCGGGGTGAGAGGATTGGCAGGTGTGGGTGGCGTGGGCGGCAGTGTCGGGGGTGGGGGGGCTGGCTGGGGCTGGAAGGCGGATAGGGGCAGCTGCACGTGTCCGGTCGCAAGGCCCGGTGAGGGTGCCGGCTCCAGGGGACAGCAGGGCTGCCCGAGCCTCACTGACACTTAAGATCCTGGCCTTCTCCACCGGGCAGACTGAAGCACCACCGGGGCCGTGTGGCCAGTAGCCCGGCTGGAACTCGCCTGCCTCCTGCTGCCCCCTGGGCGGACAAGACCAGTGGAGGCCTGCCTGCTTGGGTGATCATTTGCCTCTTGCCTGGAGGTGTCTGTCCTAATGTTTGTAGAGACAGCTCCCAGCAGCCGGGTGAGGTGGGGAGGTGCGATGTCAGGCCCTGGCCCTCCCTGCTGGGATGCACGGTCCAAATAAGCCCTTATCCCAGAGAGGGGTGTGGTTGCCAGAACTGGAAACAAAGGAGAATAAGCAATCAGAAGGCGGCAGCTTGCTGCCCTGAGCGGGGCGAAGCAGTTTTTGTGGAGAGGAAAAACATGGGAGCTAGGGAGCCGCTGAGCTGCCGTTGTGTACTCCCCTGCCCAGCCCCGCCCGGGCCTCCCATAGCAGGGAGGGGCTAGCTGGGGCGAGGCTGCCTGCCTGAGGACGGCTTCTGGGGGCGTGGGCTGCGGAGCCTGGCCCCTGTGCTTGCACAGCTGTGATCCCCAAGCAGGCAGGGCCGTTTTGGAAATCATCCCCAGCCTCGCAAGGCCTGAGCAAGACGGCCTAGCTCTGGTTTGGGGGAAGCTCCAGATGGTGCCTCTCTTCGCCTAGAACCTTCTCTCTCTTCCTGCCTCCTCTCCGTTCCTAAAGGGATCAGACACGAGGCCGAGAAGCCCTGGCCCCCTTCCAGGAGCCGAGGCCCTAGGCGCCTGTCTCCTAGCCCTCAGCCCAGCTGCTCTCGTGGGCTGTCTAAGCCTGTGGCTGGCTGAGATGCTAAGCAGGTGTCTGCGGGTGAGTCAGGGAGAGGAAGCCAGGTGTGCCGGGCAAGGCTGGGCTCGAGCAGGGAGCTGGGCTGGGGGCTCAGGCCTAAGCCCTTTGGGCCAGCCTACATCTGCTACATCTAAAAAGATGGTGCCTCCATGAACTTGGCTGGCTCTGCTCCTTCAATCTGCATCCACCCCTTTCCCAGGGTTGCAGGTGGGCCCAGAGGCACCAGGGACCCACATACTGCCTGCCTCTGTCCTGACCACAAGTTAGTTCCAGGGCAGCTGAATGGTCCTTGTTGGGGCTGAACCCAGGCGGCCCAAACCAGGTGCGGGGGCTGGGCCCAAAGGCGTGGCTCACTGCTGACACCTGGACTCCTGCAGGCCCTGTTCCTGGGAGGGGTGGGGGCACTCCCATTTGTTCAGAAAGGGTAAGCAGTTTACATGGGGGGGGGTGCAGCTAGCTGATTAAGGGACATAGCAACTATATGCAGTGTGCGGACCTTGTGGGGAATCCCCGTTCCAACAACACAACTGGTAAGGACATTTTTTGAGACCGTCAGAGAAACCCGAACACGGTGTTAGATCATATAAGGAATTCTTGGTAATTTTGCTGGGCAAGAGAATGATACTGTGACCATGCTGGGGAAAGAAATGCTTATCCTTTTGGGTGAGAGGCTCTTTATGGGTAAAATGATACAGTGTTTGGATTTGCTTTGAAATCCCCTGGAAGGGAAAGGGCGGGGCGGAGAAATGGGGGCAGGCAGAGTGATGGCGAGCAGGCACAGCCAGCATGAGAGGGGGCGGGGGGCACAGAGCCTCTGCTCCCAAGCCCACAGCAAGTTCAGCGGGGAGAGTGACTTGAGCAGCCGCTCGGGGTGGCCTTGGTTCTTCCAGGCCTGAGTGCTCCCTCCAGGAAAGTGGATCAAAGCCCCAGCCTACAGAGATCTGAGTTCACGCCTTTGAAGGAAGGCTCTGCCTGTGCCAGGCCCTGTGTGCACACGCGGCTCTCCTGTCCTGGGAACAGGGTGTGTGGCTGTCTCCATCTTGCAGCTACAGGACACTCGGGCTCCAAGAGGCCACACAGCATGCCGGGGAGAGGTGGATCCAGGTCGCGGAAGCTGGTGGTCTGGCTCCAGAGCCCATGCTCTGACCTCCCAGTGCCGGCGGAGGCCGAGTCCCCAGGTGTCCCAACCCCCGCTCTGTGTGACAGCCTCTCTTCTCCTTCCCAGCTGTCTTCGCTCAGCCAGCTGCTGAGCCTCATGAAGCCATCATCTCTCAGGCAGTACCTGGGCTCTGAGACCTTGCCACCGTGCCAGCGGCAACAGCCAAAGGCCAGTGCTGAGCTCGACCGCAAGGTGAGCCCCCCCCCCCGCGCCTGCCCGCCCAGCCAGGGTGCGGCACCGCCAGCTAGCGCGGAAGGCAGGGCCGGCCACGCTGCCCAGCCTGGAGGGCCTTATTGCCGCCAGTCCCCCTAAAACCCCAGGGCCTTAAAATTCCAGCAAGCTGCCTCCCTCTGCTGAGAGGAAGTGCTCACCATCCCTGCAGAACCTGTAATCAGTGCCCTTGCCCATGCCCCTCACGGAGGCGCAGTGGGGCGCTGTGTGCACGGGCATGCGCATCCCCCTGGCCCTGCTCCGGGGTTTTGCTGCATCCTCGATGGTCCGGTACGGATGTGTTAGCGTGGGGTGCTCCGGGAGTCATACAGCACAGCTTGGAGAGGATGCAGGAGCGAAATCCGGGTGAGGGGAGTGGAGCTGGGAGCTTCCTCCCTGTTCCTCACCGTGGTTGCCACTGAGGCTGAGTCCTTGGCCTTTCCCCCAGTTCTTCCTTTTTTTAAAAAAAAAAAAGATTTTATTTATTTACTTGAGAAAGAGGACACAATCGGGGGGAGGAGCAGAGGGAGAGGGAGAAGCAGGCTCCCTCTGAGCAGGGAGCCCAAGGTGGGGCTCGATCCCAGGACCCCAGGATCATGACCTGAGCTGAAGGCAGACACTTAACCAACTGAGCCACCCAGGCGCCCCTCCCCATTTCCTCCTAATGGACTTTCCAGACATTGCCCAGCTCTTCCGAAAGCCCGGCTTTGGTGGGAGTCGAGGACAAAGCGGTATCCCTGAGCCTGCAGGTTGTGCAGTTGGAATGGAGAGGCCTGTGGACACTGGGGGTGAAGGTCAAGCAGGGGCAGTGGTGTAGGATGTAGGGGCTTCAAAGTGGGAGCCCAAAGCTTGGCTCTGGGAGGTGGGGAAGGCCGGGGGAGGGGTGTAGATCTCAGTGAGCTCCCCTCTCCCTGGAGCCTCGAGGATGAGGAATGGAGATAGACATCTTCCTAATTTAGGAAAGTAGTAATTCCAAAAGCTCACTCGGAGGTTGGATGTTGACGATCCAGAAGTCCACCCTTTGGGCATTGCTCTGCAAATCAGATAAATGAATTAATTTACTTAATGAACACAAATGAACCATTAAGAAGATATGATGATCCCAGGTGGATGCGCCTCTTCTGGAGCACGTAGGTAAGGTTATCTTTGAGTTGTGCCTAATATTAGTGCATTTACGAGACTCCTGCCTGCCTCCCAGGAGAGTCTGAGCTGTGTGCATGCCCTGTTCTGTTCTCCCAGCGATTTCCTGGGAAATGAGCTGGTCGCAGAGGCTGTGTTTGGATGTTCCACGGCCTCTAGAAAGGAGGTGGGGTTGGCCCATGGGCGGGAAGGATCTGTCTGAGCAGGACACAAGTGGACAGGCCCCAGGCTGGACTGAGGGAAGGAAAAAGGAAAGAGAAAGAAGGGGAGCAGTGGCAGAAAAGAGGCTTGCGTCTGATTTGCCCAGTGAAGAGTGTGCACTTCAAACACTTTGGAGGCTACGCCTGTGACCTCACTCAGCAGAGCTGTGACTGCCAGGCCAGAGGCCTCCACTTGGCTCCTTGCTTTTTGGAGCCCATCTGGTAGCAAATGTCTGTTCCACACCCAGGGAAGAAGAGGAATAAGTGGCCTGAGGGTGTCCTTTATTCTGAGCACTGTTCTCATGCATGTAAAGGAAGCTGTGTCCCACTGGTCAGCTACCATATTGGAAATGACCCGTGTGGCCTGGAAACATGGAGGGTTCAGTGTGTCTCGGCAGGGTGTCCCAAAAGCGTAGGGTGTGGGCCCCGCCCAGGGCAGTGAAGGGGGCACGTGAGGCCAAGGCAGTTCTCCAAGGCCTTGGCTGCCCCTCTTGCCCACCTAGGATTGGTCCCAGCCTGACAGGGAGGTAGCCAGGAGCAGAGGAGGGAAAGGGCCCTGGTCTGGGGAAGGGGAAGAGGTGGGGCTGGTGCGGATGTGGGGATCTGCACAGAAATGGGAAGTGTTCTGTCCCCCTGGGCGGGTGCTGACCGGAAGGGGCCAGGTGAGGCAGGTGCCGGGCTCCCACAGCCCAGCCCTGCTCCCACCTTGGCCAACTGACTCCTCATTAGGCCCGAGCATGTTTCATCTTCAAAGGTGATCAGGCTACTCACCAGCCAAAAAGAGCAGCGGCGTCACCCGCCCTGTTTTACAGGGAGTGGTGGTCTGGGCCTGGGCTGAGCCTTTCATCCCTAGGGCTCAAAGTCTTTGCCTTCCTTCCCTCCAGGGGCAGTGGGGGAAACTAAGGCCAGAGTGAGCTTGGCCCGAGGCAGCCCGGCCTAGAGGAAATAGGGCTTTCCCAGCCCTTGGGGCGGCCGTGCTGAGCCCCATCCGCCAGGCCCTGCTCACCCCTGTCTGGGAGACTTCCTGTGAGAAGCTGGGTGACAGCCCTCCTCCAGCCCTGCAGATAAACACTTCTGCCAGGCTCCCCTCCCCCTGTTCTCCCCACCTCCTCCTTTGCCCAGTCTCCTCCCTCTCCTAGGAAGCTCCCAGCTTTCTTCGCCTCCCTGGCCTTCCCTCCCTTGGGGCTGGGCGAGCTGCTGTCTGGTGCCCAGGGCTTGACTCTCTCTCTCCACGGATCCTGTGGCTTTGCAGTTGACCCTTTACTGTTGGGTCTCCCCAGCTAGACCGTGGGCACAGCATAGGGCCCAGCCTCTCCACAGCCCCGGTATATTGGGTACTGGATAAGTGAATGAATGAACAAAGGAATGAACGCGATTTGAGTTCCTCTCCCCTCTCCAAAGTCTCTTCTTCCACCGCATTCAGGCCGTCCACTCTCCTACCCGGTTTCCAGAACCCTCTCCCTCTGCATGCCCTCTGACCAGCCTCTACGTGTCAGCCCCCTTGTCTCTGAAAGTCCTTGTTTCATGAAGGCCACGAGGGTTTATGGCCTGCACTTCTTGTGTTGGAGGTCCTTGACTTCAGAAGCCTTACCTGCTCACGAGAGAACCAATCACAGCACATTGTTTGTAATTATGAGCCGGTGAGATTCCTGCCTGGGAAAGCTAACCACCAAGAGCAACAAAAGCAGCAAGCTGGTCCCGCTGCAGCACTGCAGGGGGCTGGACCGGCTGTTCGTCCGAGCTGGGTCCGAGCACAAAGTGTCCTAGCAAATCAGGCAGGGTTTGTGTAGTCTAAGACTCTGCTTCCTGGCGAGATGAGAACACTTTCAGCATTTCCAAGTGCTTTTGATAAAGAAATGGTTGCTCAGCCCCCTTGGTGGTTATTGGGGGCCCTGTGCTCGCCTGGTTTGAGCAGGGGCTCTCCTGGAGGAGAATAAACATCTAAGTCAGAGTAAGTACCGGGGTCTGAGACAGCCCATCGGCAGGCAGGTGCCCATTCAGCTCAGAGAGGTGGAGAGGATGTTTTAATGCAGGAGGCAACTGCAGAGCTGGCTTCTTAGTGCTTCCTTGGGTCCTTGGATCCAATTCTGTAAGAGACCAGCGCTGTCCCAGGCCCCGTGGGAGCCTGTCCTCTGACCGCTCTGCAGACAAACGTGTAACTGGACGTGGTTTGCTATTGTCTCCTCAGCCTTCCAACCCAGAACCCGGAGTTTCCTTTTCGGTGGCTTTACGAGAACCATCTTGGGCCAGATTTTGTCTAATTGCATTCTGCCCAATTTCAGGGTCTTGGTCTGTTCACTTTAACTGAGATTCTTGATGTTTTGGTCTTGTTAGACCCGCCATTGTGTGTTCTGTTTCTATGTGCTCACCTTCCTGTTGTTTCTTGCTTTTCCTCAGGCCTTTTGCTATAATGAAGGAACTTTTTTGTTCCATGTTTTTGCCCCTGGGGATTCGGAAGGTCTACAGAACCAGCATTGTTATGGTGGGATGGGACGTTTTCCCCCAGTTTGGTTAAATCTGGAAAGTTTGAGGAAGTTAAGCGTCGTGTGGGAAGAAAACGGAGGTCCACAAAGGGGGATGTCCCAGAGTTGGGGCTGCACTGAGGCACCAGGATCTGGGTTCCTGTCTTCCCATCTTCTGGGGCATGTCCTCCACACAACCTGATGAGTGTCCTCATGGGACACGCAGCGTGGGGCCCACTGACGGCTCTGCATCTGTGATGGTCCTCAAGGCCCCACCACCCAGACTGAGCCTGGGGACCACAGGTGGCTCCCATCAGCTTCCTCACCATGCACACCGCGTGCTGTCCAGCTCTGTGCTTCCGAGGCTTGGGGATGGCTTGTGTGTTGGAGAAGTGCGTGTGTAAAGAGTTGATTTTTATGCGGGGGCGGGTGAGTACTACACGCTTGAGTGATGCTCTGGGGTAAACAGACTCTGCCCTACTGAACAAACTCCTTTGCCCCTCCCTCCTGGGTCTCTGCACTTCTTCTGCAGAGGCTGTGGGCCTGCCGCACGCACGTGTGTGTGTGCACGTGCGTGCATGTCTGCAAGCGTGCATGTATGTGTGCATGTGTTGTGTGTATTTCTATATATCTTTGTGGTGTGCCCTCGTGTTAATAGAGTTGACAAACAAGTCTGATGGCTTTTGCTCCTGCTGTGGCTGGGACTGGCCTGCCCCTGCGTCTGGTTGACCCTGCCAGGAGCCGCTGGAGCGACTGGGGTGTGGTTTGGGAGGTTGCGGGGAGTGGGCAGGGAGGGTGCCTCTAGGGCCTGGCAGCTCTGTGCTGGCTCTGCCCTCTCCTGCTGGCACTCAACACCAGCCAAGGGACATACTCCCTCAGGCTTGGCTGGAGAACAGGCCCCTCGCCCCGCGTCAGCCAGAAGTCCAGGTGGAGCGGGGGCCTCTCCCTCTCCCCGTACCCTCCGCCGTCTCACCTGCAAGTGCCTATCCTTATATCCTGCCCCTTCCCTGCACCTGAGGGGGAGTCCTTCCCGCAGGGCCGGAGACCTTAGTCAGGGCAAGATTAGGAAGAAAGGAACTGGCTTGAAGAAACAGAAAATAGATATTCGGGAATCCTGCGTTCCTTCTTGCCTGGTCTGTGGTGGGTTCCTTCTTCCTTCCTCCAAAATGAGGAACATCAA